ATCGCGATCTCGCACCCTTTGCCTTCACTTGTCGACTGCGTCCGATCGCAGTTGGGGTTTGTAAAGAGTCCTTGATCCCTAGAAAACAATTCAGGGATATCACTTGATATAAGTATGCGACTTTCTTTGACGTCGGGTGGCCAATGATCCAACCCAGAAGATAAGTCGACATGTGTACTTAGAAGCAAATTGAAATCCGTTTAATGTTAACCAATCAAAACCAAAACCTAACACATATCTAGTTTTATCCATATCACCGAGTTCGAAGCCACGCGTCTTCCTCTCAAGTGTATCGCCCACTAGTACCTAGGTAATTTACATCAAGTGTGTTCTCTCTAAAAACTTGGCGTGACCCACACCAGACTTGTAGAGATCAGATTGAATTCGAGAGATCTGATCTTGGCCGTGATCCACCAATCTCAGACAGTGTTCCTCCAATCACAATTTTTTTCGGACTTAATTGACGCCTGCGATCTGTGAGCTCCCACGTCCTGACTCAACGGTAAAAATCTCATGATCGTTTTACTTTACACTTATCACAACCAGCGACCACCAGATCTTCCGTTGACTAATCACCATGGCGACTTGGTCCAGGTGCTGTCTATGAAGAACCAAATTGGTTATATCAAGCAAACATGTCGAGAAGAGCGTCTTGTTCAAGTAAAAATACTCGTACATTTGTATTTATCGCGTATTCACGACCTCGACCCTTATCAGTCTTTACCACACTACCTATAAACCGACAAAAAGACGCGATAGATCCCTGCAAGTGACTCACGCCACTGGCTACGAATTTACGGACGCAATTACGAGAAGCATTGGACGAACGCTTCTTCAGCAGATATTTCAATTATAAGCAATTCCACGAATATCACCTTGTATTGGGAATTTAGTCAAAACTCCACCTTGTATATAATCGAAGGGAGAGGAGTCTCAATCGTGCACTGAATTCTACGTGCCGTCATCATAGAAAAAGCGCAGGGGAGGCTGTGACCAGGAAGAATGATGTGAGCGCAAAATACCGAAGCAAAATATAGAACTTACTTACGGCAGTAAGTGAACCCGCGGCCTTTTTTAACACATCTACCTGTTGTGCACCTCAGCCGTCTGGAAGAAGAATTCGTGCCGAGATCAAGTCGACCGCCAACTGTAAGTCGGCAGGACCGGCGCGCAGAAGAGGAAATTGATCGATGGCTGGAGGATCCTGTTGATATTGCACGAAAGAAAGACTACACACCAAAGGAATTAGTACTTGAGTTTTGGCAAAGCCGCGAGAACGAAGGCGACTACCGTATTTCACCAAAAAGATGTGAGAGTGCTGTTCTCAGAACCATCATCTTCGTGTCAGATTGAGCGTGATTTTGGTGGTACAGAGCAGATGGTATCTTTCACAGCGCACAACATTTAATGGGCACAACATCGATATGTTCTTATTCCCCGACAAAATAAGCGTCTATGTTGACTTACTGTAGTGTAAGGAAAACTTTAGAGGACAGTATTACTTATATACACCTACCAGCTTCATCTTCTCCATCAACGAAAAAATGGACTATGACCTAGGCGAGATGACAAGCGACATTTTGGACGATTTCGCTGATTGCATGTCACAACCTGGCGACTTCAAGGAAAAGAAGTCGAACTCGTAAACTTTTCAAGAAATAACAACATTTACATTTTAATCGACAAGTAGCTTGGTTCTGTCTTCTCCGCTCTCACTTATACTGAAAGCTGCTGCTCTGGCACGAGTACACTTAATTTTGGTTCTCGCGCTCGATGATCTGGGTGGCATGCATGACCTCGAGTGCGCACGCGAAGTGGCTGCAATTGCACGAGGCTAATTGCTGTCGGCCGAAGTGGTGTCGAACATTCTTGACACCCCTCGGTTTGTGACGAAATAATAGTCCCCGCAGCCACGGCCTCATGTGGCCTTACTACCACCACCCTATTCAACTCGGGTGACGTCTTTAAAAAAGAACTAGCTGTTGACAATGTTTGCAGCGCTTTATCCTCTTTCTGTGTCGCAGCACTTATGAGCACCATATTAACTGTATGTTGCTGGTCCCTCTCCGACGATTTTGGCACCTTTGACTCATCATCAAGGTTGATGAATGGACAGATCCCTCCTTTAGGCAGTTAAACAAGAGCTACAGGTCGTGGTGCATGTCGATAGGATTTCTTCCATGCTTCTAGCATCCTCTTCTCGACTTTAGTGTGTCCGTCAGAGTCTCCTCGGCCGTCGCTGGTCCAATCGGGCTCGTAGCGGGTCGTTCGGATCCTATGGCGCTCATATTCAGACGAAAGCTCACTCACGCCCTCCGTAACTGTCACGCAGATGACATCAATAGCCGGCTGCAAGCTGTGCTCTATGGTGTATTGAGAAAATGGGGTGCTTGGTTAGTGCATCACCTTGCCGCAGCGTGTCTAGACCGGACTAAAGAGCCTTGCTCTGTAGAACATTGATGCACTTATCCACCTCCTTTTTCACGTGACTTGAAATATTACTGATAAGTCCGGCAATACTTTTCTGGCTTTGCCTATTCACATGCGCGCAATTCGTCTTGACGTGCGCATGTATAGTCGTCGTCACGTCTACTTGACGCTGCAATTGTAAAATTATCGCGGCTTGCGTATTAGTAAGAATTTTGTGGATGCGTGTTATTGCTTAAAGGTTTTCGTTCGTTGTTGTTTCTGCAACGAAGTAGCGTACAGATTCGTAACGAAGCCCATCTAAATCGACACCGCACCGCAACCACTTATCGCAAATTGAATCGCACGTCTGTTGAAGGTCTAACGTCACTGAGCTCTGAATTACAGATGCAACGCCTTCCGCCGCCATATCCACTTGATGCTTCACCATCTCGCTCGTCTCGTGTATTATGCTGGTTTTGTGGCGAAGTCGATCTCACACATTTGCAGATGTAAGGTTAGATCTTCTATTTGCCCGGAATTGCCGACATATGGAGGGGGTACTCCGATCCGTGCCTTGTTGTATAGCCTTGTGCTTACCTTGTGTACCCGTTGGTTGAGCTGGCTTGAGCTCTTCGTAATGGCCTTGGGAGATGTCGATCTCGCTGAACGTTGGGGTTGAGAGTTCGCTCTCGATGCGGAAATCTTCACACCGCGAACTGGGGTTCTGCGATCTTGATCTTGAGTCGCGACGATCTCTATTTAAAGGTGTCGCGATCTTGATTTCGAATCACACCGATCTCGATTTGTCTTCGGGATCGGGGTCTTTGCTGTGCGAAAATCTTCACTCAGCAAATAGTAATCTTGCGTCGATCTTGCCTTGGGATCGGTCCGACCTGGTCTTGGGATCGGCCGATCTTGCAGGAAGTGCGCAATGTGGGCAGACAGGTGTCCTGTTTCGCCAAAATGGAACGGGCCGATCTGGCTTGTGGATCGCTTCGATATCGCTCGGTCTTGTCTTGAACTCCTTGTCCAGATCTTCTGACCACTTGAGCCGTATCTCAATATTGTAACCAAAATCCTTTTCCTTGTCGCTGCTACCCTAGCAGTTGGGTTGAGTGTGAGTACTTGATCGATCCGGGCCAAACTTCCCGAGATCGCTCTTCTCAATCTTGGCGAACAATCCAAGATCGGCCTTCAATGTCCCAACAACACGCGTGCCTCAAACCGTCGGGGAAGCCAAAGAAATCTTGCCTTGAAGAGAGGGAGGGAGCGCGCGTCGTGAGCAGAAGAAGTAGAGCTCAAGTCTGTTTATTAACCAACCAAATTACTAGCCAACCTATCTTTAAGCCTATTCCAAGCTGTAGGTCACTCTCCAAACCGATATCACCTTTAAGCTGGATCGCCCCCTTGAACACGTGTCGAAATTTCATGACCTGTACTCCTAAGATAGCGCCAATATCCTCGATATCGTACCTAAACACCAATGGAAACCAAATCCCAAATACGATACCAAATTCCCAATTTTGGTGCCAAAAGGTCCGAAATAGTACTTAAGTGCCAAATGTGGCTAAATCCATTTTGCGACGTCGATTCAACCGGCTTCCACTGGCTCTTTCGGTCTGAACTGTTGCGACATCACTCATGGACCTTCAACAAATATATTCATCATGATTCCAAAGCCTCATTATCGATATATCCATAGTCAGCAGGGAACCTGACCGATCTGGTGCCCAAATTTTTATCGTTGAGATCTACACGGTACAATTCAGCAGTAGATGTTCTTCTGTTCATTGTATGTGCTCCAATATCACCCTTCAGGGTTTATCTGGCCCACGAGACTCTCCACATAGCTCCATGGACCTCCACGAGTATCCACGTTTCCAGATCGGGCTAAAATTAACCTAAATCAGTATTTCCATTGTGAGATCGGTAAAGAGTATTACCGATCTGTAGAATGTAACACTTTCGTCCCAGAGTCATATCGCATCGCATCACCTGGTCCCAGATGCATCTTTCCTTAATGACTTGGCCACAATATCCACGACCGTTGCTATACGTATCTTTCTCCTTGACCAACATTCAGGTAAATTGTATAGCTTCGTCCCACTTCCTCGTCCCAGATCGCTCCACACGCATCCTTCTCCTTGACCAACATTCAGGTAAATTGTATAGCTTCGTCCCACTTCCTCGTCCTAGATCGCTCCATGGAAATCGTTCTACTTGTCCTCTTGTCCCAGATCTCTCTATCCCCGGTCGTTCCATATCCATCAGTCTGGCGACACTTGGATCGGATCGTCGATCCCCGTTGAGATCGCTATCCATCTCCTCATTGGATCGCTAGGTCCCTTGGCATCATTTTTCCACCAGTGAGTGACGCCATAACTGGGTGGCCACCGATCCACGTCCCATCATTCGATCCGGGTATTACCACAATTTCACGAAGAGCTAAGGCTAGTTTGCCCTCGACAAGCTGCTGCACATATATCATAAATTCCTCTGCAATGCCCTCTTTTGAAAGTTCGACTTGCTGTTAGACAATATGCTGTGCCTATTGTGTGAGACTTGTTCCATCGTGAGCCTCTGTAAGCTTTTCATCGACGAGTTTGAGCACATGCTCCATTAATTTCGGCCGCAGCATGATCAGTAGACTTCTCCATTTGTGTCTGCACCATCTGTGCTGTCTTTGCTTTGAGATTATCCTTAATTAACTTGTCTTTGATAAGATTTTGGACTTGCTCCATTATCCGCGATAGAGTGCCGTCCATGTTGCGCTCCATCAGCATCATCTTCTGGTAGAATTCGTATTGTACGTCTTGGCTCGCCTGGGTAAGTCGATCACTAACGTAGCTTTCGATTTGACCGCCTCGTTCATCTTGTACGTTCTACAGGTGTTGTAGTTGTTATCGGAGGCTGGCTTGCGTGGCCGCCAGCGCGTCTGCAATATTTAAAGCAATGCTACGTTGTTGGATCGTGAGCTCCCTTACCCTGATCTCTGTTGAGGCTGGCACAGCCATCAACGCGGCGTTCTGGGCGTGGTTTTGCCCTTCCTGTTGGTACTTCAAGACACCATGCTCTCTTGCCAGCACCTGGATCTGTAGGAGAAACTGCTGTGTGAGCGCAGAGACGTGGTCCATGACGCTGAGGGTGAAGTGCTTGATCAGCAACGACAAGCGCTACGCTACGGTCAGCACCAGCGACATTGATCTCTCCGTCGTCTATTTCCACGTCAACATCGATCTCCACAGCGCTCCGAGCAGCATCTTGAGCGCGAGTTAGCACCATCGTCGGAAGACTGCAATATATACATATATATATTATCTGCCGAGATGATAATAGATTACCGCTTTACTATTATCATAAATTTCTGCCAACAAGACCGACAAGAAGAGAAATCGTCCCACTCTGCAGTTCACACGCTAGCGTATTTCCCGGCGAAGAACGATATTACGGACGAAGCTACAAAACCTCGAGAACAATATTTTTAAGGTTCTTATTTCCCTACTTCGTTCCACGAACATTGTTCTTTCAAATTCGTTCGTGTAAGGCTTGAACATTGCTATATTTAGTATGAAAATATAGAAAATTCAGTATATTTATCATTAAGAATGATTTAAAGTCGTTCAATACCTCGGGGAGGTACTGTAAAAGAAACTCATTATTTAATTGCAGAACTTATACGAAAAAAAGCTGTGGTATTATTTAAATTTTGTCTCTCGCGGGCGCTTGCGGCTGTCAATTTTAATAATGAAGGGTTTCTTGCGTACACTAATTATATATAGTTGTACGAATACAGTTTCAATGATTAAAGCGTGTAACCAAATAAAACCGGTCAGGCGGGCTCTTACGTCTAGATTAACCGATTTGGCTTCGCTCTTTGCCATCTCGGTTTTAGTTCTGGCTCTTGTCTTTGATTGATCATACATTCTGTTGTCTAGCCTGCAAAGACGCAATTGCCTTCGACCGTGCGCAATCACTCTTGTCCACCACGGTGTCGTACGTTTCTTGATCGTCGATCATATTTGTTATCATTTTGGAATCTTAGTCTTGCGTATTACTCAGCGCTGACAGTGTGTTATCTGCTTCTTGTCCGGGCAACAATTTTTGTGCATCCGGCTGTACCAAGCAGCTTGTGGATGATTTTTCACTTAAAACATGGTTTCAATATCGTAGTTGACGGCCATATCGAGGATACTACGTAGATTATGTCACTCACAGCCTGATGGCGCTATACTAGCGTGTGAATATGTGCGCGACCCTGAGGTTACACCTTCTACCATTGCTGACGCCTTGGGAAGAAGGGATACATGTTTATTCCTGGATTTAACATTCAAGTAAAGAAGTACATCGGTGGTACACTGTGGTAGGACATTCATGGCACAGGTACGTATACAATGTGATGTACCACGTATCAGTGTCCTTTTAGCCTTTAAAGACACGTTAAAGGGTTTTACTCTAGTAGAGAGTAAAACCTTACATTTATTTATACGCAGGATTAATTTCCGTGTAAAAAAACTCTATAAGCATGGGTACGCCATTTGATCTATCAGGACACGTGCCTTCAAAGGCGTCTTTTGATCACAAGAGTTGGACGCCTTGTTAAAGTATAGAGTCTTTACACTTGGTATAATTGATCATATGAGACGCTATTAATAATAGAACTAGCAAGCCAATTCATAATCATACTTCGCATACCAAACTACCCGCCTAAGCGCTCCCCAGTCTATTAATATATAGAAAACCACTAACAGCAATTTCCATACTATAGTTCACAAATTGGATTCTGACCACTCAGACAGGGGAAGACAAGTTGGCCAAAACATCTTAATGCCTGAATCCACACGCCATTCCCGAGCCCCTTGGACCAGGACTAGAATCTTAGTGGTCTGAGTAAATTCGTTGAGTCGCTGCTGCTAAACCTAGTTGAGTCGCAGATCAGAGAGCTAGTTAAGTCCCATTGTCAAGGTACTATTGGCTCTTGATAATAAGCTTCCTATGGCAAGGAGATGTGGTAGCTTCGCTAGTACTACCGTACATGACGGCGAGATGATGTTCCAAGGGACTGGGTATCATCAGCTAGTCGCGACACTACCGAGATTACGACGAGATGGCGGACAGGGCTGCAAGCTGCGCGATGGATTCGCGTACGTCGCACCAAATGTGTGTGGAACGGGGCACCGACAACTACGTACTGCTTTGTTAGTACGTAGTTAACTTTCAATGACAACAGTGAAGGTCAGTGCCCTGCTATGTATTTCACCAATACATAGGAAGGTAAGCAACTAAGGTTAAAGACTGTAGTAGTGGTAAAAGTGAAACTGTCATTTAATACAATTAAGTCCTATAACTCTTGTTCTTTATTTTGTCCTGACTTAATTATATTACTGTGACTAAGTGTATGATGACGTCTTTTCACCACCCATTGCGCGCGTGTAGCAGCGATTGGTGGGTTGAAATAGTCACAATGTCATCCAATGAGTAGACCCTTCGGTCATCCCAACAAAATCACTGTGCTTCGTAATCTTATTAAAAATAATATCCAACGTAATATTCTTTATTGTCATTTTCTTCTTTATGACAATTTCATGTCACAGGCTACCCCGTTACAGTGTGCGCATAAATACCGGCCACTAATAGCAGACCTGAAACAGCATCTGCTCAACGAGCACGGAAGTGACTGACTTTTTCAGTAGCACGTGACTCGAGCACGTGTACATCTTTGCAGCGTGCACGCGGTAGTCTCAGCTTAAGAGTAGAAGCGAGATCCCCACACACACATTTTTCTTAGTGGTACAAACTCCTTGTAACGGGGCAGCCCGTTACATGGAATTGTCACTTTAAGGAAAGTGACAATAAAGAATATGAAGTTGAATATTCTTTAAGCAATATCATCGAAGTGGTGGTATTGAAGGGTCGACCAAAGAGTCTGTTCATTGGTTGATATCTTGATGATATCAACCCACCAATCGCCGCAAGACGCGCGCAATGAGTGGTGACGAGACGTCACCATACACTCAGTTATATTAGCATAATTGAGTTAAGTCGAACAAAGAGACAGTAGTTCAAAGACTTAATTATATTAATATAACAGTTCTGCTTTCACCCTATCTACGCCTGCTTGCTTGCCTTGTGTACGTCTGTCGGGGCACCGATACCCTTGCGTAAAGTTCACGCAAGGGTATGCCCCGTTACATCTGGTAGCACTTTAGAGTCCTTCCAAGGACCACAACATCCAACATGAACATGTTGGATGATGAAGAGACCTTTCACGCCACGCGTGAAGGGTTTAACCATTTGAGTGACATCAAATGGAGTGCAGTAGAACGAATGAGTTCTACCGTAGGCGATTTCGCCATTAGCTCCATGTTGGAGTCTCTAGACAGAGACCAACAACATGCCGCTATCGCCAAGTTCATTCAAAATGAACTTGTCGCCGAAAGGGAGAAAGTAGCCTTGCTTCACCAGCAAGGCTCTCAACAGGCCGAGCAGTTGAGAGAACTCAGTGCTCAACAGACAGAGCTGTTGAGACAGCAGCAATTCCATGCTGCTGTGGGAGGGACGGCACATGCGCGTCGTCCCAAGGTCATGAAGGTTGACATCTCCAAGTACAGTGGAGTCCTGGAGGACTTCCTATTACTGTGGTTTGTCGAACTCGACAGAGTCTTAAGGGCTCGTCGCATCGAAGATGAGCAAATGAAACTCACATTTGCTCAGACCCACTTGGCAGGTCGTGCCAAAACTTGGTCCCTGGGGCTCGAGAGTAGCGACCCAAATGTGTGTAGGTCGCTAGATGACTTCAGGTCCCGGCTCAGACAAACGTTTGGGCCGCCACGGGCTGAGTTCAGGGCTCGTTATGAGCTCCTGAAAATCGAGCAGGGTAAGAGTGATGTGCACGCTTACGCTCAACATATACGACTCCTCGCGAGTATTATAACTGCTAACCCAGTTCATGAACACACGTTGATTACGGTGTTCATGCAAGGGCTCTCAAAAGAGCACATCAGGAGCCACCTGTTCCGCCTTGAGCTGAATACGCTGGTAGATGCGATATCAGCCGCGGAACAGGAAGACTTTAGCATGAGACCGGCTCATACTAGCTCAAACTCTTATCGTCCACCAAGACGACAAGAGATAGGAGGTCCAGAACCAATGGACCTCTGCTATGTTGAGAGCAAGAGACCTCGCTCTTCAAACAACAAGCGATTGCAGAGGTGCAATCGCTGTCAGAAGTTAGGGCACTACGCATACGAGTGAAGTGCTCCACGCCCAGTACCAAACAGTACTGAGCGAAATGGTCGTCCATTTGCCAGAAAGGGCAATGGGCGTGGGTCCAGCGCTGTTGCGAAGCCGCAACAGCGAAACGAACCATCAAACAATGGACGGGGTCAGTAGGGGCGGAGTGCCGTACTGATCCAGCAACCGCAAGAGAATTTGCAAATCTCTTGACGAAAGTTGCTCCAGATACACAATCATTGTGTGTCTCTGCACCTGGTGATGACGTTTCGCTCATCACCTTGAAGTTGGAAGCGACAAATGATTTGTCGCTTCGTGCCCTAGTAGACTGTGGGGCGTCGAACAACTTTGTTCGTCGCCAGTCACAAGAGGGTCGTAGGCTCAAGTTCGTTGAGCGCGACATTCCCCTCACGAGGATGACGGTGCGCCTTGCAACAGGTGCATCGATTACCGTCAAGAAACGTGTAGTCGGAATCCACTTCACGTTGGAGGGCGAACCGTACGATGATGACTTCATCGTACTGGATCTGGATGACAAATTTGATGTCATCCTGGGATTATCTTGGCTCAGAAAGTACGAGCCAAGGGTGAGCTGGCAGCATCGATCCGTGAAGATGCCTGCCGCTTGTTCATCAGATGGCCATCTGATGAACATCTTGGAGCGTCCACAAGCGTGTGGATGTTATGCGAGTGAGTTCGATGGCCTCACTTGCGGTACGGTCGTTAGCACGACTGCACAAGATCACAGTGTAGTTGATCACTACACTATGGAGCAAGCTCCCGGCAGCTGTACAGAAGTACTGGCGGCGCCGAAGGTCCACCACTCGAATAAGTCGCGTGGACCGGGACATGGATGCATGCCTAGCGGGTAGCATCTTAGCCAAAAGATACCTGTTGCCTTTAA